TGGAATCAAAGATACATGTTTTTGATTTTTTAAGCTCACAAATGGTTTGTTTTTAGAAAAGGAAACATGATTTATTTTTTAAGTGCCTTGTTTTTGTATTGATTATGTGAAAGATGAGTTAAAAGGTTGTTAGCAAAGTTAACCCAATAACCCTTGTACCTGTTATAAATAACTTGCATTAAAGGTACTTTAACTCTTTGAACACCCACAGAGACAGAATTCTTCACCAAAATGACTCTTACTTTGTAATATTTATCAAATTTTATCTGTGTTTGTATCTTGTGTTGAAAATGTGTTTAATTGCTTTGACTTTTATATTTTTATGAACTTGAATGCCACATATCGTACTATAAGTTATTGAATGATTTGAAGTGCAATACAGGATATATTCTGCTGAAGATAATTCCTAAGGAATATTCTGTATTCTCTGTATTGCTACTGAGATTGTCCCCTCCGAACGAATATTTTCTGTATTGCTACGGAGATGATCAATTCGGACAATTTCAGTAGCAATACAGATTGATACGGCAAAAAAACTGACCAATCGGAGGGCTTCAATACAATACAATGAATATATGTAAGCAGTGTATATGGTGCAAAAAGGGGAAATGTTCTGGGATTCAAGAGGTTAATCTGGTATTGACTTTCAAGTGACACCTTTTAGTCTGAAGTTTCATTTTAGACACATACTTTTATTCAGTAGCTTTTATCTTTATACTACAAGTAGCATAAAGTTTTTTTACACATATGTTTGTTTAGTTGAGTTCTTCTAGAGGAAGTATATATAATTTGACACAATATAACCAACATTTATGACTTAGTCTTGAATAGTTTTAGAGAAAGTTGTTAACTAGAGACATGAATTGTGTCCTTCTTTAAACAGTACATGTATTATAGTAAGGTATTTGTAGTATGCAGAAATGCTATTATTTACCTGCATTGTAGACTTGCATTAAGTACCACCCCAGTGACCCCACCCTCCTATTTAGTTTACTTTAGAGAATGGAAGGGAGGTGTCTAAGAGGAGGTGGGTCACAAAGGTTTGACATATATGTAAAGTCTTCTACATTCCATGATTATAGAATAGAGCAAAATAAATTAAAATAAAAGGCAAAATTATTTGAAATTATAATTTTAACATGGAAACATCTGCAAAATTCTTTAAGACAAGGGGCAATTTTGATGAAAAGAACCAAATTAAATGTGGACTCCAGGACATAGGGACTTGATTTCAGAGCCTTTTATAGGGACTGGGTGTTTTGATTTGGTGTCTGTCAGTCGGCAATTGTAACAAATGGCAGGTGGTGACATTTTGCATGTTAAATTTATTATGATTTATATAACAATAATGGTATTATGAACATTTTCCAGTGATTTAATTTAATTTAATTATTTATTTACCTGTATTTAAACAGAGTGGTTTTACAAACATATTTACATTTGGTAACATCACACAATTAAATAAAAAGCTTCCATTTTAAATGGATGAATACTGCTTATGTTTTATATGACATTGGTTCTTTCAAGAGTGTCTTTATTATGTAATAATCAACTGTCCAACGTATTCTTTCAGAATGTTTGATCTAACAATAGTCATTTTATGCACTATACATGCAATACTTATCATATCATCGTCATCAATTTCACACTCGGGATATGCAAATATCTTATCTAGTTCTTTAAAAGCACCGTATTTTCTTGTAATTAAACCTATTTGGTTACGATGTTCTTGCCATTTTGGACATCTCATGATAAAGTGATCAATTGTTTCTGTTTCGAACCTGTTACAGACAATACAAATACTATTTACACCTGAATTTTTTACGCGTAGATCGTGACAATCAGTGGCTAGTCTCATCATTGTTTTACACTGCGGGGTATATAGTGGTTTTTTCCTTGCCAAGATCCACCAGACGCAGGGTTTCATAGATCCAAGGGATCCGACACGTATATTTACATCGGAAATGTTAACACATATATCATGGCGTCTATATAACGAACATGTTGCCATGTAACCGTTTCTCTGGTAATTACCGATTGTGTTTTTAATCAGTCTCTTCCAATGAAGTTTAGAAGGAAATTGTGCTGTACGTATCATTTCTAGTAAGCTCTCTGTGAGGTCATATTTTACAACACAAGACCACATTCTGGAAATTGGGGAATCCCATGATGCCAATCCTAGTGTTATATTCATGAGTCTTAACATTAATAAACGTTTATAAATATTCGAAAGTGGTAAAATAAGCATTCCAAATAACATAAGTAGCATATCATAGTCAATTCTCCGCTTCATTGTGTTCCATCCCAGTGTCATGGTTGACGAGGGGTTGCTGGCGGATTTAGGAAAACTTTGTAATCTTCTCCCAATTTGGCGCTGTGCCACTTCGAGTGTTTCAAGATCTTCAGGCTTATAATTAATTATCTGGTCACCATAGAGCATTTTTGGCACGCTAAAGCTATTATACAGTTTTGATGCTACGAGTGGGGTAAGGCCACCAGTTCTATGACCTAATCCGAATAGTGAATATAGTTTTCGCTTTCCGCTTGATATAGCGTCTTTAACATGGTCCCTAAATACTCCATCTGTCGACAGTGGAATTCCGACATGCTTTGCAGATTTGGCATTTGGTATTTCGCCCGTGCCTAACCTAAACTGTGGGACCTCAGTATTTTTTCCATAGGTCAGGGCTACACATTTCCCAGGGTGTAAGGTGTATCGCCATTTGTTGCTGTGGGCATAAGCTAATTGCAGCATAGTGTTCATTGCATTAGGGAAGATAGCAATGAGAGCAATGTCATCTGCGTATGCTATAGAGCCTGTGTTGATTCCCATGGTTTTTGCTCCAAGATTTAATTTTTCAAGGTCGTCCAACAAGTCACTTATGTAAAATTGATAGAGCAGCATACTGCTGACGGCTCCTTGAAATACTCCTTGGAGCACCGGGAAGGGTTCGGATACTCCCCCTGCTACCAGGATATTACATTCAAAGTTCTTGTACGAGTCATATAACAATCGCCAGAGTTTCCCTTTAATCCCGGCCTTATGGTACAGTTTGTAAAACAGGCCGTTTATCCAGCACGTATCAAAGGCAGATTTTATGTCTAATAACACCACGTGAACGGTACTGTCATGATGGGTATTAAATCCAATTGTCTCATGCAGAAGTAGTGATGAGTGTAGCGAGGAGCACCCATCAAGACAACCTCCTTGTAGAGGATGTATAATCGACTTTAAACGCCAACTGTATCTTCCTAATATGATTTTGTCGTATAATTTCCGTATGACTGACATGAGTGTTATACCCCTGTGATGGTTAGTGTCAAGTACGTCCCGCACACCCCCTTTTAAGAGGGGGATGAGAGTTCCGGTACGAAAGGTTAAGGGTGTATACTCGTTATTTATCACACTTTGAAATAGACATATCAGAATCTCCAGAATTGGACCCCCGGCAAAACGTATATGCTCGACCGTTATTCCGTCCGGCCCACTGGCTTTTCCAGGCTTCATTTTTGATAATGCTGAACTTATCTCCTCCATTGAAATGTCATTTTCGAGAAAATCATTATTATTAAGATGAGAAGTGTGAAGTAAGTCATTGACTTCTCGATCAACTTGATCCTTAAATTTATCATCAAATAGGGGGTCATCCCCGGGAGAAGCCAATGTTTTGAAATGATTGCGCCAAACTTCGCGAACCTGTTGTGCTTCAGTGACGATGATGCCATCTTTATTGCGAACTGATGAACTAGGCCTTGACTGTTGCCCTCTACTACGTCGAAGTAGGTGCCAAAAAAATCGTTGGTCAACACACTCTGATTCGTATAATTTAGCCATTTCAGCTCGCTCGTATTCCATTTCTGCCATGTAATATGCTTTTGAGAACGCCTTTTTAGCGAGTTTGTATTGTTGAAAAATGTCACCCGACCTTGGTTTACCCGTATTGCGCCACTGATGCCATAATCTATTACGCTCTTTTACCAAAACTGTTAGGTGTGGGGCCCAGAATGGCTTTTGATGCTTCTTAAATTGTTTAATTGGAAATATTACTTCGGCTGCTTGATGTAGAATTGATATTATTACATTTAAATACTGATCTATTTCGGCATTTGATAACTTATCACCTTTCTTTTGAAACTCACTCTGCACGTATTGAACCATTGAGCTACACATATCAGCATAATTATTTTTCATTTCCCACGTGGCTTTGTCCCACGCTACACGTTTGAAACATGAAGATTTTACTGAAGATTCCACTTCTGTGTCACATGTACTTTTTTCTATTTTGAGGACGGTAATAACAGGGAGGTGATCTGAAGATGCGCCGTAATTTGCACAAGTATTTAGAATAGTGCATTTATAAATATGAGCCACTAGTGTGTTGGATACAATAACATGATCTATGTAGGATTTGTGACCACAGGCTGATTCAAACGTGTAGTTAGGGCCGTCGCAAAATTCTAGTAGGTCTGCTACAATTAAACCGTTGCGTAAAATAAACTCTTGAAATATTCTACCATTAGGGGTACCGCTGCCCCAACTACGACTACCGTTATGGATATTATACGGCAGATGGGCATTCATGTCCCCCAATAGTACAACATCCCCTTCACATGATACCTGATTAACATTATTTTCGAGCTCAAGTAGCACGTCCTCGAAATTGTCCTTTTTACACTGCTGTTGTGGGAGATATACTGAGAAGATATACAATGGGCGAGAATTATCATGCATACATAATTTAACACAAATCATTCTATCATTTGATAAGGCTTTTAGAGGGTATACCTGTTTTGCTAAGGTTTTACGCCAAAACATTGCGACACCACCTGAACCAAACTTTAGACCACAGTCAGCGTTATCTATGTGCTTGCTACTAATTGCATGCATGCAAAAATCATTTTCATTGACATTTAATTGTTTGATATTGCAATCGTATAACATATGCTCACTAACTGCAACTATGTCATTTTCATTTAATAGATCTTTAAGTGCATGTTTTGCCGTGTTTGCACCATTTAGGTTCCATTGTGCAAGCCTAAGATTCATCATGTTATGCGGTATTAACACTGTTACTGCGATAACATATAGACAAACGAGTATGATATTTGTGAATAACATGATGACTAATAGTTGTCGTTGTCGTCGCCATAATTGTCATTATCATAATAGTTGTTGCGTCGCTGGGATCGGTATCTTGGTATATCGTTTCGTCGAGGACGTTGCTCCCATTCCCTGCATGTCACCGGGTATGGCCAAGATACTGGTTCCAGAGCCTTATCCGCCGATGACTCCGAGACTGCAATTTTGCACCCGACTCTGTCGATTGCAAATCGGTTATGTATCACATTAAGTTTCATAATTCGGATTCCAGTAATATGCGCATGTGACTGGATCTGATGTATGGTTGCGTCGTCGTCGTCGTACTCAGATCGTGCAATGTTTTCGAGGTACAACCAACGATACCGTTCGTGTTTGATGCCCTTGAGGCTTGACTGTCTGCTAGGAACATCACGAGTTGGTCTCATATCGTGTCGCTCGACAGGCCTAGATGTCTTTGTCACCTGAGAGTATGAAAGGGTAGGTGGGGGAGGCGGTTGAGTGGAGGCACGGGCCTCAATGCGTGTTCCTTCGTTGTTATGGTTCAATATGTGGGGTTTGTTTACATCTTTTGTATTGGTTGCTGTGACTAAGTGCATGAAGGGCTTTGGCTGGACGGAGCTCATTACATCTGGTAGTGAGTTAGACCTAAACGCCGTGTTTGTGTTTTGCATCGGTTTATTAGTCCCATTATATTTGTCGTTATTAGCACCACTCACACAGTGGGTATCAGTGTTAGAAACATGAGTAGTCGCTTTGCTGCTAGACGTGGTATTAGGTGGATTAGGCTCCTTAGTCTTTGTCAACCTGACCTCGTTCGTAGTGGACTTGGAACACGTACATGTACATTTACAGACTTGTCCCTGGAGTTTTTTAATGTCGCCCTTTATTTTTGTATTTTCAAAAGACAGTTCTTGCAACTGATGCTGCATCAGTACGAGTTTCGTAAATAAAGCCTTCCCATCCCATTCAGTTTCAGTGTACGTGTTGCACGCCTGTGTCGTAGACGAGGCGTCATTGGGCGTAACGGATGCAGACATACGCATCGGAGCATTGTTCATGGTTTCAGACGATATCATATTATCAATGTTACTCACCGATGAGCTACCTAGTACCCCTCTCGGAAACGTGTTATCCAGATCAGCGATGTAAACAAACATATCGTATATATCCTTGCAATATCCTGTAGGTCTTTCCGCTTTTCTTGCCTTCAGTTTCAATCCTCCGACATTAGAGATTTTGTTCACTTTTTGTAGTTTACGTGTCGAAAGTTCAAATATGATATCCCGTGTTCTACGGAGTGTATTCTCCTCAGCAATGCTACCTAGCTCTTCTAGGATAGTATTCCTAGGTTCCACGGTTGCCTTTTGAAGTATTCTGCTTATATCGTCCGGTATATCGTCGAACATTGGCAGGAGCTCTGACCACTGATTTGTATCGGCCGCCATCTTTTCTAATGTGTTCATATATGTATTGATATCAGAAAAAGGACATTTAACAGTTTACTCAATAATTTGTGTATTGAATATGTAGATAGTGGGGTAAATGTTACTACGATTGTGTGTCTCTAGTGGTTTTAGTGGGGTCATACTACGGTTGGCATCGACATGTTCCTCAACATCTTCAACAAGGTCTAACAAGAGGTAAAATAACCTAGAATTCATAAATGATGGACCTATCTTCATCTGATGTATTTCCTTCTCCTCAGGTCTGCCCGCACATTTACTAGTATGTCACACTGATGCTCTCTGTAAAACCAATCATTTTTGTGGCTAGAGTTTGGTATCAATGTTTGACACCTGAAACATATTGTAACACTTATGTTATTGTGAATAGTAACCTGGCTGACATTTTGTCCTGTTAATGCCTAATATGATAGAAGTACTCAAATTTGAAATAAGTCTTGTATCAAACCTCTGTTTCTTTCATTAATGCTTATTTTCTCCAACCTTATGTTAAAATGTGTCAAAGTTGCCACACAGGTGCTTGACACAAGCTTTTTTCACATCTGGCATATTTGTCAATATAACCTCTACATGTAGTAAAATACACATTTTTTATATATTTTTTTTGTTTTTCCAGAGTAGAACATCCAGCATTCATGGCTTAGATTGAGCAGTAGGAACCGGTAAGTACATTTATTAGCAGCGAATTTCTGGTAGTCAGTGTAACATGACTTTTAGACATGATATGTATGATTCTGCTTTACCTACCTTTTAAAGAGGCTACCCTTTCCATATAGTCTAGCAACAAGCCCAAATGACCCCCCCCCATCTTCCACTACTTATCTACATACCTTCTTGCACAGAGAAGGGGTGTGTTGTAGGGGGAAGCTCATAAGGGCTTGTAGCTAGACTACCTTTCTCATAGTTTGATCTTGTTTCTTTAAAAAAGAGCTTCATCTACAGTTAGAATTAGGGTCGGTACTGGGTAGATATGGAAAATTTACATGTAATAAGTTAACAGACTGATTTACGGATGTCGCAGACTATATGATTTTCTGTTTCATGTATGAGATTTATAATCATCCACTTTAGACTGATCAACGTTTATGCTGCCATCTTTATGTCCAGCTATTACCAATTACAGACAGTCAATGTCACATCTAAATGTTATCTGTCTTAGATCAATATAAACAGAGGAAAATTAAACAAAAAGTAACTTGCTGAGTAATATACGATATAAAAAATCTGACACATCCAATTCTAATGAGAAAATAAAACCATTAATATGACTGATTTGAATAAATTTCTTTGCTAGAGTTCCCGAAGTATGCAGGCTTAGTTGTGAGTTCCTCCACCAATGATAGTTAGGCATTGATTTTTTCATACTCTGTAGTACAGTAATCATACCATAAAACACACCAACCTTATTGTGCACAGAAATTATAGAGCCAATATTGTAACATGCGAGTTATCAGGCCTCCATCTACAGATCTCAAGTCTGGTGCCCTTCTCGTTCATTTATATTGTTCCTGGAACTAAATGTGAAGACATGGAATTTAGAGAAGAGCTGGTATAAGAATATATATAAAAGTGCATATCTTCAGTGAATCTTGGGCGCATATGTGTAAGAATGGAGCATAGTTTTGAGATCGTGGTTTTTAGTGTAAGGGTTTCTATAAAGAATTGCATATTTGAGCCGAAGTACAATCTTCACAAATAACCTTATAGTGTTTCATGCCATATCTCAAAGTACCATATAATTGGAAATAAAATCAGAATCAGCGACTGCATTCCTTGAAGCACTGATACACCGGAACATCAAATATTTACATTCTTTGAGGATAGCAACAACAACAGAAAGACCTGGATTATATATTTTATTCACCTGGTTATCTTGGGCAATATGAGCCATAGGGAATATAACCATGCTTGAGATGCATAAAGATGGTGCCATGTAATAATAGTCAGGTGCTCACATGTTGACAATTACATCAAAGCAAAACATAATACATGAATAGATACATGTACTCAATTTCTGAATGAGTACAGAGACCAAATACTATAAGGAATTATAAGGATCATATAATATAAGGGATCATATGCTAGAGCGATCAGAGATCATATGCTATTGGGATCTAGCATTACATAAGGGATCATACCCTAAAGGGATCATAAACTCGGGAGGGATCATTTACCATAAGGGAGTATTGTACATGCTACAGTCAGTGTGTCACATGTAAAGCTTCAAGGTGAGAGTGACAAGTGCAGGCTTAATGCTTATTGCTGTTTGAAGTAAATAGCAATTCCTGGGTAGTAATATCCTGGAGAGAACCTGGATCCTTAATGAATATATCTAGATTCTGATTAGCATCACCATGAAAAAAACTCCACATACTGTATGTCCATATGCTTAGAAAATCATTTTTTCGGCTGTTTTATTGACCAAAGTTTTAGTATTCGGGTAGTTTTGAGTTAAGGTCATATTCAGGTGAATTCAAATATTGCATCATATTTATGTCACTACCACTAGTGGTGACATATTGTTATGGCCTCCACCTTTTTTGCAATGGTGTTCATTGTCCGCCAGTTGGCATTCTGAGTTCGGCATCTGTAACAAATGGCAGGTGGTGACATTTTGCATGTGTAAGTGCCTTGTGTGATCATAAAATGCACTGGTCATGTTTCTCTCAATGAAAAATAAATTGAAGAAAATATTCACTTTATGAAAAAAAATTCTCATTTTACCTCTATAATTTACAATTCCTCCTTAATTTCCCATAAGGAGTAAATGTCATTAGAGAAGAAAATATTCATATTATGTACTCCTATTACAGGAGCGAGAATTCTATTGTTATTATCAATGTTAATATATAGCACTGCATATAAGACACAGAAGAGCTGCAATAGGCAAGATGCCAGATGACCTAGACATGGAGGAACCATTGCATGCTTGAGCGATTTTGAGTAACTTGAACAATTCCGAGACTCTTTTGTTTCCAGTTTTATGTAAATGTCACTATACTATAGGAGAAGTATTTTTCCTCATGCAATACGGTTAGTGATAAATCAATTTGAAGTACACAATACGTATTGCAATGACAATCAACTTTAAATGGCATCGCGTCATAACTAACACACCGCATTGTATATTAATCAATGCATGAGTCTGGGCAATTATGTCATTTGGCTTTCTTCAAAGTCTGTGCCTCTTCAGTAGCAACGATTTTTGCACTGAAGCAAATAGCCAATAACAACGACTTAATTGAGCCACTAGAGGCTACTTTTATTTTCTTTATTTTTTTCTCAAAGTAATGAGGAATTTTGGTCTTATCTTTGCTATGGAGGTTCCCTTCCAGTTGTATTTTGATAGATGTTATGGCGGAGATTTTAAGAAACATTGCAGATGCCATTGGCTGCATATGGGGTCTTAAACAAGAATGCAAATATTGTTTATTACTACATCTGTTCGAATTATGTAAAAATCAGCCATCAATCTCAACAGAAAGTAAGGAAAAATCAAGAAAGTGAAAATTATGTTCATTAAATTGATTCTCTATCAGATGGTTTCTAACATACAGGATACATAGAGGTCGGGTCGCTCTAACTTTGTGTCAAAAACTACTTATTATTATCAAGTTACCAAATGCTTATAGAACTTGACTAGTCTGGCACATCAAGTGAAAAAAACTAAGTTAACCTTGAAATTAGATCGTGTGTGGGACATTCATATATAAAACATTAAACATGATAGATGAATACTAACCACATAGAGGAATGAACAATTCAATGAATTAAAAGAATGTTGGGTTTCTGTTCCAAAATGTCACCCTTGTTGAGCTTATTCTGTACAATATCCCTCTAAAATAAACTAAAACTTTTGATTTTTTCATGTTTCCATACAATTTAGGGTATCAGCTACAGGTTTTTCCACCCCATTCCTTCTTAATTTCACTGTTTTTCGGTATTTTTGGGTTTTTAAAGTCTGGCTATTATGATATTTTGTTTTGCAGTTGTGATGATCATTTTGAGATATGTGAGGAAGTGAAAAAGGATCTATGATTTAGAGATGATGACTCTGTAGGTTGTAGGAGACAATACATACTTTAGGAATCCTCAGTGCTCATCATATAGGGAAAGTATCCAAATGTTAACAGTTTGTGAAAAATTAAATTTGATGTCATCAGGGAGGGACTAAATAATGATTTTAATCATGAAGAATGTTGATTTTTATAAGCCCGATCAACTTTCATAATGTCAAGGGTTTTAAATGTAATGAAATTAACTTTTTTTTAACAGCTGAACATTTGGACATCATCCCTGCAAGTGTGCTATCATCAAAGGATCTATCAAACAAGCAGATATTAAGAAAGTAACACTGACTGAACTTTTTACATTTGTGACATGAAGTAATGAACTTTGAATAAAAAGCAGTAGGATGATGTAGGTCAACAGGTGGGCAAATAAAAATGATCATGAGCCTACTGGTTCTTTGGAATGGCAAATGCTGTCTAGAATAGACTTCTCTAGAGTATATTAGAGAAAAGAGAAGCCTGTGTAATCAGTGCTGCTAATTTTGATTTGTCGATGTAATCTAAGGGCCTGAATGATCTAGGTCTTGCTGATATTGGATTAGCCCTTAAAATCAAGGATTGGCCTACAGGATTGTAGATAGTGATGTTTGATGTAGGCCTATATGATTAAGGATAGGCCTGCATATCAGAGGATAGATACCTAAGATCTAGAATAGGCCCTTGTGATCAAGGATAGGCCCTAATGTTTTAGGATTGGCCTGTATGATCTAGGATCTTGCCTTTTTAAAGTTGGATACTTTCGGATTACTTCAACGTACAGCAGATCAATTTAAATCACCTCAACAAATTGAGAAAATATTTGGAAAGTTAACTCAATAATTTTAGTGTGAAATCTCTTGGATTATCATTGTAGCAAGCTAGCTGAAAATATATTTGGTTTACTGCTGATTAACTCATGAATTGTCACTTGAG